TCTCACCCTTGTCACGCAGACTCGTTGACGCCAGGCAACTGTTCCATTGCCATCGGCTAAGAGTCCATGTTCCCCTGTTTTACGAGATAAAACAGAGCATGAGTGATACATAGACTCAGTTATGGTAATGTTCTTGCCTTAACAGATGGGTTGCGATACCAGTTTCGGTAATGTTCTTACCGTAAACATATTGGATCGTTGCAGAATATCTAGACAACACAATGTCTAGTATGCTAAATCCACAAAGCTTAAGAAGTTTACTTCTAATACGAATGTATAAGAAGGTGGTCCCCCAATTAACATCAAGATAATATTGAAGTTAGCCGCAGATGAAGAAAATTCCCAGGGGGTAAATCGAGCGAACGCTGACGTGAATACAATCATGCAGGGAATCCCGTAGGTGGCTGACCCACCACCTATCCGTCGGTTTTAGAAAGCAAATAATCATTAGTCAGGATAAGGAAAAATATGTAATTTTCATGATAAAACTAATATTTTATACTTGTCCTGACTCATGAGATGAAGCCCTCCCAACCGTCCCCTCTCACCACACGGGTTTCCCTGTAGACCTGAGTGGGGCATATTTCGGAGAGAGTGAGGACCAAGGCATGGGAGGTCACGTGCCAGGTTTTGGCGGGAAACCAGGGGAGGTAATAAAGGGTGAGTGATTGTACGTTCGCTTCAAGGGAATTGAAAGGATTCAAGTTTCCACTTGACTGTTCGGAAGAGAGGATGAGAAAGCAAATAATCATGAGTCAGGATAAGTATAAAATATTAATTTTATCATAAAAATTACATTTTTATGTCAGTTAGAACACACATTGCAACTAACAGATCCTCCATATATACTGGTGTTTTTATGTCAGTCAGACCATGCATTGCAACTGACAGATCCTCCATATATACTGGTGTTTTTATGTCAGACCACAGATTGCAACTAACAGATCCTCCATATATACTGGTGTTTTTATGTCAGACCACACATTGCAACTAACAGATCCTCCATATATACTGGTGTTTTTATGTCAGTCAGACCATGCATTGCAACTGACAGATCCTCCATATATACTGGTGTTTTTATGTCAGACCACACATTGCAACTAACAGATCCTCCATATATACTGGTGTTTTTATGTCAGTCAGACAATGCATTGCAACTAACAGATCCTCCATATATACTGGTGTTTTTATGTCAGTCAGACAATGCATTGCAACTAACAGATCCTCCATATATACTGGTGTTTTTATGTCAGTCAGACCATGCATTGCAACTGACAGATCCTCCATATATACTGGTGTTTTCATGTCAGTCAGACCATGCATTGCATCTGACAGATCCTCCATATATACTGGTGTTTTTATGTCAGACCACAGATTGCGACTAACAGATCCCCCATATATACTGGTGTTTTTATGTCAGTCAGACCATGCATTGCAACTAACAGAGAACCTCCATATATACTGGTGTTTTTATGTCAGACCACAGATTGCAACTGTAACGGGGATGGCTCTTTTACAACGACACAACTCCGTTGAGGCTGCAAGTTCCTTTTTATTACTGTAGTTTGTATATTATAATACAAGTCTGAAACAATGTATATGAATATATAACATTCCATCAAAATACCTGTTTTATCACATTCATTCTTTTCATTGCACATTGTTCAGATAATTAACAATCACAGCTCTACCACTGAACATATAAAAATAACTCAAAATAAATTGACATCACAAAATCAATGGTTCAGTTTCATATTAAGATCCTTAGGAATTATGGAACACATTTGGCATCTTCAAACAATGAAACTTCAACGTGTCTTACCATCTATGGGACAACTTGCTTCAAACTGGCCACATGTTGTGAGGCACCAACAAAACACCAAGAACCTAAAATATGTATGTTTTAATTAGCATGGAAATGCTAATTCTCACCAACAAAAGTAAGCGTACAAACTGTTTGGACTCAAACATTAATCTGAATCAATTGTAAGTGAAATTATTGACACCAACAATTTCTAACCATAGGTCAAAATATACCTCCACCAAATGCATAAATTCAGTTTCAATAAATACTGAATTAACCTTTCAACAATTAAACATATTTTTGTAGTTTATTCCTTTTATATAAAACCAAATGTTACTAACCTGTAATTCACCAAAGTCACAATCCACCACCCATGACTTTCAAACCACCTTGCCAGGTTGGGAGAAAGACAGCAAGTGAACAAACTTCACACTTTCCAAATGCAACTAAATTCAACATCCAATCAAGATGTTGCACATCTTCAGCCAATAAAAGCCAAGGACAAGACAGCAGACCTGACCTCATTAAGACTTGGCTAATTTGCATAGGAACTACTTTTGACCCATGACCCAGTGGTGACTATAAATAAATCATGGACTTGTGAAAATGTAAACCTTTTCACTGACAATTGTATTATTGTTTAAGGTGTTATTAATTGATTCCAAACAGGAACATAAGACAAGACATATTAAAATAGATTGCTTTTCCAGAATATTTACTATTTGTATATTTTGTACTTGTTACATACTTGTATTTGTTACACACTTGTTTTGTACTTGTTACACAACTAACAGAGAACCTCCATATATACTGTTGTTTTTATGTCAGACCACAGATTGCAACTAACAGATCCTTCATATATACTCATGTTTTTATGTCAGTCAGACCATGCATTGCAACTAACAGAGAACCTCCATATATACTGGTGTTTTTATGTCAGACAATGCATTGCAACTAACAGATCCTCCATATATACTGGTGTTTTTTTGTCAGTCAGACCATGCATTGCAACTAACAGAGAACCTCCATATATACTGGTGTTTTTATGTCAGACCACAGATTGCAACTAACAGAGAACCTCCATATATACTGGTGTTTTTATGTCAGACCACAGATTGCAACTAACAGATCTTCCATATATACTGGTGTTTTTATGTCAGTCAGACCATGCATTGCAACTAACAGATCCTCCATATATACTGGTGTTTTTATGTCAGACCACAGATTGCAACTAACAGATCCTCCATATATACTGGTGTTTTTATGTCAGACCACAGATTGCAACTAACAGATCCTCCATATATACTGGTGTTTTTATGTCAGTCAGACCATGCATTGCAACTGACAGATCCTCCATATATACTGGTGTTTTTATGTCAGACCACAGATTGCAACTAACAGATCCTCCATATATACTGGTGTTTTTATGTCAGTCAGACAATGCATTGCAACTAACAGATCCTCCATATATACTGGTGTTTTTTTGTCAGTCAGACCATGCATTGCAACTAACAGAGAACCTCCATATATACTGGTGTTTTTATGTCAGACCACAGATTGCAACTAACAGAGAACCTCCATATATACTGGTGTTTTTATGTCAGACCACAGATTGCAACTAACAGATCTTCCATATATACTGGTGTTTTTATGTCAGTCAGACAATGCATTGCAACTAACAGATCCTCCATATATACTGGTGTTTTTATGTCAGTCAGACCATGCATTGCAACTGACAGATCCTCCATATATACTGGTGTTTTTATGTCAGACCACAGAATGCAACTAACAGATCCTCCATATATACTGGTGTTTTTTTGTCAGTCAGACCATGCATTGCAACTAACAGATCCTCCATATATACTGGTGTTTTTATGTCAGACCACAGATTGCAACTAACAGATCCTCCATATATACTCATGTTTTTATGTCAGACCACACATTGCAACTGACAGATCCTCCATATATACTCATGTTTTTGTCTGTCAGACCACACATTGCAACTAAGAGATCTTCCATATATACTGGTGCCTTTATGTCAGACCACAGATTGCAAGCAGCAAATTCCCCTTGTATCCTGGTGTTTACACTGTCGGTTTAAGTCAGTCAGGCCACATGTAACATCAGATACTCAATTTAAAAAGAATCGTTTTACAGCCACACTACTCATCTTACACATCCAAGCCCTCTGACATTCAGTATCTGCCTCTTGTGCATCTTCAGACATCTGTAGCCAGGGCTTTCTTCTCAAGAAGAGTAGGTCTGGCTATCAAGGCTACGCTTTGTAAGACCACCTGAGTGTTTTGCAACAAGAAGCAGAAAACATTCCAAAGTTATCATTTACTAGGAGGATTCAATCTGCCAGTAAGGGCCTCACCATAACAAGTGGCTGAGTGTCTCAAGCACCTGAGGAATACGAGGAAGTGGAAGGGTTCCACCCTACCACAGTCTTGGCTGCCATCAGCACTGTTATCTCTCCTGAGACTGGCATCAAGGTTTTCATGTTGGCTGGGCTTCAGCCCTCATATGATATTACAAACTAGTTGATCAAAAACATTCAGACCACCAGTCAGTGCCATAAGAACAAGGTGATGAGGATCTGTCAATGTTCCCAGTGAGGTACAGAAGCTGTACCTTGAGGTAACTAACGATCACTTGGAGGGGCACTTGGAAGAGTCACTGAGTTGTCCAGTTAAACTGTAAATGAGGTATAGGTGGGTAGTAGGCGTGGGTACTGGTGGCTATATCAGTGTATGGACCGGATAGCGGTTAGGCTATGGAATCAGTCAGAGAGAAAACTCAGAGCACATGGTCATTTGACCTGCCATGTGGGCAGCCATTTAATCAGAAACAAAAGAACTACAAAAACAGGATCGGAAAGCGGAATTAGGCTAATTAAAGGGTATAAAGTGGGACTGCGGAATCGGATCCACATTAAATGTTAAAACAATAGGGGGCATTTAGGGGCTGCAAACACTTTTATACATAAACAGTGCTGGCTGTTAATACCCCTTTAAAACTATACATGCATTTCAAGCCATAGGCTTTATTTGCAGCCAAATCCCTGTTCAAGATTTGTACCGCTAACTTAACAACTTTCTTGTTTGTTTTATCTTGCTTACTTACAGCATGCATCAAAATAAGCTGAAGGTGCAGCAGGAATAGTTTAATATGAATGATATACCTTCTATTCCAGAAGGCCATGAGTCTTCCAGAGTATGGGGTGCATTTCCACAAGCTGTTCAAGGTCAGTGAGAAACATGGACAAAAACTGAAAGCCCTTCATATAGAATTAACAGGAAATATATCTGGCTTTTCTGTGACAAATACTTTTAGCATCAGTCTTCATTGAGCTTGGATGGATGTAGATCTTTGCAAATTCCCATTGTTACTATTATCAGTATTGTGAAATGTGATCCATCTGATTTGTCATCAGAGCAAGAATGACACATCCAATCTGATGTATGTGGGCATTGCCAGTCATCACTTGGTGCTGGCTGAACTCCATAGCCACAAGCGTGTCATCATCCAGCATCATGCCTGGAACAGTATCCTGAAGATCTCCTTCAACAAGCGCAGGTTCAGTGTCCAGACCAAGCCAGATATGGCGAAGAGCAAGCCACCCAAGATCAACTTGTTCTCCAGCAGCTATAGGAAGTAAGTCCGTCCCACTAATCCATATGGTGTGTTAGTCACAAAGTCAATTTATTCCCTCCGCTCTTAATAATCCTAGAATATGTGTCATTTTATTGTATGGCTAGATTTGTCTGAATTGCTAACAGCTGAAGGGGTGGTGTAATTCCAGGTAGGGTCCATGCAGGAAGCAAATGTACTGTAAGTCCCCATGGTCTCTGATATTGTGATGTACCTTCAGTTGTTGGCAACCTATAGCCTGTTTTTATATTTCTTTGTTTTCTTTAATAATATTGTTTTATGATAAAATATTAGTTTTGCTTTAATATCTGTGACTCTGTTACTTCGTCAACAGCCTTTTAGTTTCTAACTTTATTGAACTCTAATGTAATATTTAAGTTGTGGTACAGAGATGACACAACTTTATGGATGATCAACTTCTTTATTTTCACAATGGCGACGTTTCGGTATAGGTTCGTATACTGTTTTCAAGCATACGGGGGAATGATGGGGTACACCAGTGTATATACTAGATTCATATGATACCAAAGCATCAAAGAAAGTGACATGATGAGCTAAAATAACATAAATGAGATGAGTAGGATTACCATGACAATTATGTCTACCGCAAACGCAGACACACTGACCAGCACATCCACTTTGACTCTAACCAGTCTCAGAACTAAAACCAGCATTATCTGCACTCTCACTCACTGAGCACTCAACCTATCCTCTGTCAACCCGGAACCTGAACTTGAACTTAAACACCTCTGGCATGTCTTCATCCAACTTAACAACTATCCCACTAAACTTGTTGACCGTGTCATTAACTCCACCCTCAACCCAGCACCCAAACCCAGCACCCAAACCCAGCACCCAAAACCAGCACCCAAACCCAGCACCCAAACCCAGCACCCAAACCCAGCACCCAAACCCAGCAACCAAACCCAGCACCCAAACCCAGCACCCAAACCCAGCAACCAAAACCAGCACCCAAACCCAGCACCCAAACCCAGCACCCAAACCCAGCAACCACACCCACCACCCAAACCCACCACCCTCAAACTTCACTCCCATTTGCATCTCATGAGAATACTACCCTACATCGGCAAAACTTCAGTCGCTTACTTAAGCAGCAAGCATGAATAGACACACACTTCTTCTCCACAGCCATACCTCTCAGGACTATCATTACGGTAAACGGCAGGAAACCCACTACAAAACAACAACAGCCTAAAGGTGTGGTCTACAACATCAGCTGCGACTGTGCCAGCAACTACATTGGGGATACATCCAGACTGCTCAACATACGCACCAAAGAACATAAGACATCCACAAACAATCAATGCAGATGCCAAATCAGCCATTTTGGAACACATCACCAAATTTCCTCAACACAACATCAACTGGGACACTGTCAAAACACTTACAAACATGATTAAACTCAGCGTAAATTGGCTGAGGCAGTCGAAATATGTCTTTTTGATCCCTCTGTTAAGAGACCGCCTCCGTGGTGTAGTGGTTAGAGTGTCCGCCCGGAGAGTGGAAGGTCGCTGGTTCGATCCCAGACCGCGTCATACCAAAAGACGTTAAAATATGGTACTTGTTGGTCCCTGCCTGGCGCTAGACAATAAAGGGTACAACAAGAACTGGTTGGCTCAGAGTCAGTATAATGTGTCTGAGTGGGGTATCCATGCTTCACTGCGGCATGGTATCTCAGTGGGCTAGCACTATAAAACCAGCTTAAGTCTGGGCTAGTACAAGCAGCCGCACATACACACACACACGCATGCACGTCATATGAGCGAAATATTCTTAAGCACAACGTTAAATCCAAGTTCACCTCACCTCACCCCTCTGTTAATAGGATTCATGGCTATTCATCCCAACAGCTTACAACCACCTAATCCACTAACAATTTATCCACTCAACCAACTCTGGCTTCTCATTGACCTCCTTAACTCGCATTCATCACCACTGTTTTCCCTCTAATTAATCCCATTATCACCTTGGCTTCTGCCTAATTAACTAACATTCTCTAATTATCCCCCGCCGCGTGTTTAGCGTGAAGCAGGGGATATAGTATTAGGCTCCATCTGTACGTGACATTTTGAAGATTTCAGCATATTAACCTGCATGTTATGCTTGTCAGCGAGATACCTCAAGAACCATTCACTGGATTTTCTTTATATTTGACACCAAGTTTCATCTAGGGAAAGTGCAAGGCCCAGTCGATTTTGGTGACCTTCACTTAATTTTCAAGGTCACAAAGACACTTTGAAGATTTCAGCATGTTAAATTTCATGTTAAGATAGTCAGCAAGATATCGCAAGAAACATTCTCTGGATTTTTTTCATATTTGACATCAAGCTTCATCTAATGAAGGTTCAGGACCCAGTCAATTTTGGTGACCTTCACATAATTTTCAAGGTCACTGCATTACTTTGAAGATTTCAACATGTTAACCTGAATTCACTGGATTTTCTTCATAGACTTTCAAGACTTCCCTTGAATGTTTTTCAGTAAGCAATTTCTTTAGTACCATTTTTGCATATTTAATACACACTTTGACATTCATGTCAAGGTCAAAGTCAGTCTTAAAAATATTTGTGTGTTTGAACAACTAAAGAGCAAGATATCAAGAGAGTTTGACTGGTCATGTTTTTGTTGACATTTAACTTCATCTTAGACTTTCATAGCTTTTTAAGTTTGATTTGATAATTTGCGGCTGGGAATTATGTCACCTTAGTGACAATGCTTGTTGTCATGGTAATCCCATTCATCTCGTTGATGTTATTTTAGCTTATCATGTAACCCATCATTCCCCCGTTTGCTTGAAAACAGTATACAAAACTATACTGAAATGTCGCCATTGAGAAATTAAAGAAGTTGATCATCCATAAAGTTTTGTCATCTCAATATTTAGATTGTTCTCGTCACGATATGGCTGAAATATTGCCGATGCTACAATAAATGTTAACTCACTCACTCATTCACCTGTCATTTCAACAGACCCACACTTGACAAATGGAAAGATAATCATTTACGAATGGTAAATTATCTCACTGTTCCTACAGGGGCCGCTACTTGCTTCAGTTTTCCACGGCTCAACATCGCTTTCAGATGAGAATGAGGACTCGCCCCAGTAACATAGAGACTTTGCAAGGTATGAGATATGATGTGTAGTTGACATTGTGACTGTGTTAGATGTGATGTGTAGTTGACATTGTGGACTGTGTGATGTGTAGTTGACATTGTGACTGTGTTAATTGAGATGTGTGAGGATGTGTAGTTGACATTGTGACTGTGTGAGATGTGATGTGTAGTTGACATTGTGACTGTGTGAGGTGTGATGTGTAGTTGACATTGTGACTGTGTGAGATGTGATGTGTAGTTGACATTGTGACTGTGTGAGGTGTGATGTGTAGTTGACATTGTGACTGTGTGAGATGTGATGTGTAGTTGACATTGTGACTGTGTGAGATGTGATGTGTAGTTGACATTGTGACTGTGTGAGGTGTGATGTGTAGTTGACATTGTGACTGTGTGAGATGTGATGTGTAGTTGACATTGTGACTGTGTGAGATGTGATGTGTAGTTGACATTGTGACTGTGTGAGATGTGATGTGTAGTTGACATTGTGACTGTGTGAGGTGTGATGTGTAGTTGACATTGTGACTGTGTGAGATGTGATGTGTAGTTGACATTGTGACTGTGTGAGATGTGATGTGTAGTTGTAGACTGTGTGAGATGTGATGTGTAGTTGTGTGACTGTGTGAGGAGATGTGATGTGTAGTTGACATTGTGACTGTGAGGTGTGATGTGTAGTTGACATTGTGACTGTGTGAGGTGTGATGTGTAGTTGACATTGTGACTGTGTGAGATGTGATGTGTGTAGGTGATGTGATGTAGTTGACATTGTGACTGTGTGAGATGTGATGTGTAGTTGACACTGAGTGAGACTGTGTGAGATGATGTGTAGTTGTAGATTGACATTGTGACTGTGTGAGATGTGATGTGTAGTTGACTGTGTGATGTGTATGTGAGACATTGACATTGTGACTGTGTGAGATGTGATGTGTAGTTGACATTGTGACTGTGTGAGGTGTGATGTGTAGTTGTGAGACTGTGTGAGATGTGTAGTTGACACTGTGACTGATGTGTGTGTGACTGTTGACACTGACACACTGTGTGAGATGTGATGTGTAGTTGACATTGTGACTGTGTGAGGTGTGATGTGTAGTTGACATTGTGACTGTGTGAGGTGTGATGTGTAGTTGACATTGTGACTGTGTGAGATGTGATGTGTAGTTGACATTGTGACTGTGTGAGATGTGATGTGTAGTTGACACTGAGACTGTGTGAGATGTGATGTGTAGTTGACATTGTGACTGTGTGAGGTGTGATGTGTAGTTGACACTGAGACTGTGTGAGATGTGATGTGTAGTTGACATTGTGACTGTGTGAGATGTGATGTGTAGTTGACACTGAGACTGTGTGAGATGTGATGTGTAGTTGACATTGTGACTGTGTGAGGTGTGATGTGTAGTTGACACTGAGACTGTGTGAGATGTGATGTGTAGTTGACACTGAGACTGTGTGAGATGTGATGTGTAGTTGACACTGAGACTGTGTGAGATGTGATGTGTAGTTGACACTGACACTGTGTGAGATGTGATGTGTAGTTGACACTGAGACTGTGTGAGATGTGATGTGTAGTTGACACTGACACTGTGTGAGATGTGATGTGTAGTTGACACTGTGACTGTGTGAGATGTGATGTGTAGTTGACACTGAGACTGTGTGAGATGTGATGTGTAGTTGACATTGTGACTGTGTGAGATGTGATGTGTAGTTGACACTGTGTGACTGTAGTGATTGTGACTGTGTGATGTGTAGTTGACATTGTGACTGTGTGAGATGTGATGTGTAGTTGACACTGAGACTGTGTGAGATGTGATGTGTAGTTGACACTGAGACTGTGTGAGATGTGATGTGTAGTTGACATTGTGACTGTGTGAGATGTGATGTGTAGTTGACACTGAGACTGTGTGAGATGTGATGTGTAGTTGACATTGTGACTGTGTGAGATGTGATGTGTAGTTGACACTGAGACTGTGTGAGATGTGATGTGTAGTTGACATTGAGACTGTGTGAGGTGTGATGTGTAGTTGACATTGAGACTGTGTGAGATGTGATGTGTAGTTGACATTGTGACTGTGTGAGGTGTGATGTGTAGTTGACATTGTGACTGTGTGAGATGTGATGTGTAGTTGACATTGTGACTGTGTGAGGTGTGATGTGTGATGTGTAGTTGACATTGTGACTGTGTGAGATGTGATGTGTAGTTGACATTGTGACTGTGTGAAGTGTGATGTGTAGTTGGCACTGACACTGTGTGAGATGTGATGTGTAGTTGACATTGTGACTGTGTGAGATGTGATGTGTAGTTGACACTGACACTGTGTGAGATGTGATGTGTAGTTGACACTGAGACTGTGTGAGATGTGATGTGTAGTTGACACTGAGACTGTGTGAGATGTGATGTGTAGTTGACACTGACACTGTGTGAGATGTGATGTGTAGTTGACACTGAGACTGTGTGAGATGTGATGTGTAGTTGACACTGACACTGTGATCTGTAGTTGACACTGACACTGTGTGAGATGTGATGTGTAGTTGACACTGAGACTGTGAGATGTGATGAGTAGTTGACACTGAGACTGTGTGAGATGTGATGTGTAGTTGACACTGACACTGTGTGAGATGTGATATGTAGTTGACACTGACACTGTGTGAGATGTGATGTGTAGTTGACACTGAGACTGTGTGAGATGTGATGTGTAGTTGACATTGTGACTGTGTGAGATGTGATGTGTAGTTGACACTGAGACTGTGTGAGATGTGATGTGTAGTTGACACTGACACTGTGTGAGATGTGATGTGTAGTTGACACTGACACTGTGTGAGATGTGATGTGTAGTTGACACTGACACTGTGTGAGATGTGATGTGTAGTTGACATTGTGACTGTGTGAGATGTGATATGTATACTAGCCACATAAAGAAACTGTGTATTGTCAAAATATTATCCCAGTTGATAAGTACGATAACAATGTCAAAGGTACATATAAACTTTAATGGAGGGATCATGAGACCATAACAAGTCGGGAGAATTTCAATTGAAAAGTCAATCACAATGACGTCACAAGTCCACAAGCGGGACAGGGGTCAAACGACCATGTCACCAGCTCAGCATTGAGAACAGCAGTGCATCGACGACGCATACACTGGAAAAAAAATCCATCTTTCCAAGCTTGGAAATGTCTTGGAAAGATGATGTTTCCAAGACATTTCCAATTTTGGAAAGATGATGTTTCCAAGACTTTCCAATTTTGGAAAGATGATGTTTCCAAAAATTTCCAATCTTGGAAATATCCACAAGGGGAGATAACTGGTGGGTGATGGTAAATTATTGTTCTGCATGGGCTATTGCAATAGTGGCATGGGCTGCATGAGGTGTTCATGTGGGGTCAATTAAGTGCGACTGGCGGTAGTCTTTGATGTTTGGTGTTGTTTTAGTAATGATTGTTTATGGGGTTAATCGAAAAGGATTATCGACTTGACTAGTCGAATTGCAGTGAAACACATTTTAAGTGTTCAATGTTGTGGGTGAAAAGTGAATTTGTCACGTTGAGTTTAAATATGTATCATCATAAGCTTATATCTAGTCAGTGAGAGTTAATTTCATTACAAGGGCCACCGACCCGCTTTACAATTATAAAGATGAAAATACAATCCAGCCATATATAATATTAAGCTGTATGCTAACGCGGTACAATGTCTCATTTAATCTTATACTCTATATTCAAAAACTTCGCTCTTTTTGTCAATGTTTCACATGGATTATTTATGTAGTATTGTGGGAGAAGGCTGTTTCTCAGATCACAGTAAAATGAACATTCAATAAAGAATTGGTACTCTGATTCAATGGTAAGTACATTACACAGAGGGTAGAATCACTGCGTGTTGTTTTATATTTACTTTTAGCCTTATTCCAACATTAAAGGATGGTCTGAACAACGTAAAAACTTACTCAAAGCAAAACGAATCGCTATGCGTTGCTGTCAATCATTATGCGCTGTCGATCTCCTGGGGGTCGAAAGTGATGGTGTCACCATGCACTAATTTCCACCGACCCCGCAGTTCGTGCTAAATCATTTAGTAAATGGGTTATGTTTGTGAAGCTGGCTTAGCTGCCAGTGGAAGCTTGGAATCCATATCTTAAATTTGTCCAGATCGCTTCGGTGAAGTTAAAGAATCAAACTACTTACTACTTGTAGTACAATATATATATGATTGATGACCAAAAATATTTTCCATGACACAACTTGAAGCATAAAGATTTCTTTTCTCGGCAGCTTGTAGGTCGGTGGAAGTGACAAATAATATTGTAAGTGTTATATTGATTTCACCTCGCTTCCTCGAGAAATTGTTATGATATAAGATATGTCACGCTGAAAAATCCCTATTGGACATCAATCAAATACATATTGTACTACCAGTAGAAAGTAGTTTTGATTTTATAACTCGGTGAAAACAAACCTAAATAGCATTTATTCTCAGACTCGCGGATGTTCGCTTACAGGCTGCCATTTTTAATAATCGTGAACACGACGGCTAAAAGTCGGTTAAAGAATTAATGAGATTATGGTTTGTTTTCATCAAGTTAGAAAAAGCAAAACTACTTTCTACCAGAAGTTAAATATGTATTGGAATCATGGCCAACAGGATTTGGCATGACACAACTTATAACATAATCGATTTCTTCCTCGAAGCGAGGTGGGGTCGGCGACATACCGCGTTAATAAATATCTTGCTACATTCCCATGGTTAATGTCCACTCACCAGTATGTAGATACTAGTCAACGTATGCCTCTTTCTATTTGGTCTTATAATCCCAATTAGTTTATTATCATACTTATGTGCATTTTGAAGCTAAATAAAATCAGGCGATCTGCCTTTACTTATAACTTGAATATCTAGACATTGTAAATCATAATTCGCACACACTTCCTAGTGTATGTTGTCTGTCTCATTACTTCACTTAATTTAAATCATGGATTCTGTGGAATGCTGCGACAAATGAATAAAAAAAAAATGCAAT